TACTTACCTGGGGTTTTGCTAATACTCAGCTTTGACCTTTCTTTACTCAGGAAGGGTGTCACATAGAGCAATACTTAAGTAGGGAGAGGAATAAACAATGATTCAAGCTACAAAATTCAGTTCTATTACACTGAAGCATCTTTTCTCCCGTATTTCTGTTAATGGAAATGTGAGGGGTTTGTCCTTTTGGTATTTTTTTTTCTTTTTGCTCACATGTGTAGCCCCAGTTGCCTTTGTGTATATCTTAAATTCTCATAGAAGAGACCGTCTGGCTGAAAGAAGGTAGTGCTGTGTTGTGCCCTGAAGAGCATCAGCAGGGTCTTGGAGTCATGAACATTATAAGTAAGCATTTCTCCATTGGTTCATGACTCTAGTCTTTTCTTATTTAACTCATTTATCATATGTTTGACTAGATGATAAAAGGGAAGCACCATGATATTTTAATTTCTACATGGTGAGAAACAGGAATTTTGCTTTGAAGTGAGTGTGTATTTTGAAATTATACAACTCATGCTCGTTTCTACTCAGTTAGATGCCATAGATGACTTTAATAAAAATGAAACAAAAATCATATTATGGATGTTGGATGACCCCTCTTAGAAATCCCTGTATAACTCTAAAAATAAACATGACAGCTTTTAATCCTGGATATTCAGATCAAAAGTATGGCTAAGGCACATGCTGTCTGACAACTTATTGACATGCAGTATAATAAATTTCAAAAGATGCATTGCTTCCTTTTCTCCTGGGTTCTACCTAAGCTTTTTAATGATGTTATCATTTGTGCCTCTATGTTTTAAGTTTTTTAATTCAGTAAAAATTGGCATGCATCTGATATGTTAGAGAGGTGTCTTTCAGTAGTGGTGATGGCATGCCACAGGCACCAACTTTATGTCCCAGGGTTTTGATTGAATCATTCCAAGACGGCCGGTGAAATGTACTAGACATAAGCAGAGATTAGAAAGTGTTTCCATCATTTCACACACAGACAGACTTTTGAAGATTCTGCTTCCAAAAATAAGTTACTCTTCAATGAAGATATACTATATCGTTATGTAAGAAGTTTGAATGATCTATACAGATTAGTCAATTTTACTTAATGTTTTTGGGCGTAACCCAAAGAAGCTTCCTGTGGAAGTCTCTTGAAGTAGCAGGGTTTTAGTTCTCTAAAGTACAACATATCATCCTGCCTGGACAGCCTCCTTCCTGCTTGCTGCCCAGTGCTCTGACAAGCAGTGCAAACAGAGGACATTGCTCCCAACCAGTTCACACTTGCCCCTCCTTATCTCTTTCCCTATGCTCCTGCTCTTTCTTCTTCCACTCCTGTGTTTCTGCTTCCCATCTCTCCTTCTCTTCACTTTCTGCAGCTTCTCCCTGATTCCACCTCCTACACTACTTTCTCCTCTCCTCTCTCTTCCTCTCATCTCTATTATTCCTCATTCTCTCCTCGATGAAAGCTTCACTTCAGTTGATATAGAACCAAAAGTTTAGGATGAAGCAAGAGCACAGTCTTCCCTTTGTTTATCAGAGCTTTACAGACATGGTCATCTCAAGGAATGCAACATGTTATAATTGCAAGGAATGACGTCAGTGTTGAAAATTCCCTTTCAGCAGGGGCTGGACAAAGAGAAGCTGTGGTCACTGAGGTTGTGTCCGTTAAGTAAATACTAATTGGGCCATCTGTTCTCATTTGGCATTTAATTTTTAATATTGTGACAGTTGCTACAAAATCAAACTCCTAGTTATGATGTTCCTCTGCTTACAGTGGATAAATGTTAAAGAAGAGTGTATCCAAAGAAAAGTCGATGTGTGCACCTCGGTTAAATCAGAATTCTTGGCCTTTGGGGATATCCAACTTTCTAACCTCTGTGGATAAGTTAATTGGGTTACTTCTCCACCTAAGTTAATTCTTCAAAATCTGAAAAAATGTATGAAGCACATGTTCTAGTGTTAAGCAGTCCATAAGCTGGGTGTTGTGTGGACCTCTTCTTCCATAATCTTAGCAGTCCTGTTTGCTTTGTTCCTTGCAGATGAGTACCTCTACTCTGGAACAGCTTCTGATTTCCTTGGCAAAGACACTGCCTTCACCAGATCCCTTGGGCTGACACATGACCACCATTACATCAGAACTGACATTTCTGAACACTACTGGCTCAACGGTCAGTGATGTTTCTCTTCTGTTTGTTTTGACTTTACTTTCAGAAAACTAAGGAGGTTATTATTATGCATTCAGATGTGCTAGGGGAGAGTTGATATCGTACAACATCTAAAAATACATTTGAAACGATTTCACATCGAATTAGACAAATCTCCAGAAAATGTGTGTGTGTGTGTGTGTGTGTGTGTGTGTGTGTGTGTGTGTGTGTGTGTGTGTGTGTGTTTATAGCTGATATTCACTGTGCCCTACATCCTTGGCACTCTTTGTGCTATAATAAATGTGTTATTTTGTAAAAGTTCACAATGACATTTGAGACATTATCACTTTAACACTTTATTTTTAAAGATGAGTAAAGTATATATGTAAAGACTTGTGTGATTTAATCACAGTATCACCATCTATCAGCAGCAGAGCTGGGCTTTATGCTGGCAACCTGTGTTCTATGTTTTAATTACCAAGCTTATTAGCTCAATGGAAAAGAAATAGACAGCAATGCTAACTTCTTTGTTGTATTTTAATTGTCATGTAAAATTATATGTTTTAATAACATACTATGTATAGATCAAAGTAGTCAGCATTTTCCATTTCTTATCATGTGCTAGCATAGATAAATTTAATAGTTTAATGCTTGCTTCTGCTGCTAAAATTTATGTTTGGGTTTAGAAACAGCACTGCAAGATTTTAAAATACTGATAATGATATTCGTTTGTCTAAGTATTATTTTATTTAAATTTTACATGGCATTTGTGGTTTTAAAAGCAGAAAAAAAATCCCTAAAGAATTTATGTGGTTACTTCAAGGACTAATACAAAGCTACTTCATCCACTGTCTTACTTTAGTCCATTTACAGGGCGAAATAACACAGAATTTTGTTTAAACAGTCAGATCACATTTACTACTCCCACCAAAATTAGTGAGTTTAGCAGAGGAGGCCAAGCAAGAGACTTCCAAGGGCTATCTTCCTATCTCTGAGTGACTTTTGAATAGTGACAACATAAACAAAAGAAAAGACACTTTTAAAACATTCCTTTCCTCGAAACCTGTAAATCAGTTTGTTTACACAGTAAAGTGATTTCCAAAGCAGCCAAAAAGAAAACTCTCCTAAAAGTTAATGGGTTTTGGAATTACTTGATTTGAGAGCAACTCATGGATTGCCCCTTTGACACCTGCTTAGATAAATATTCTCAGAGTTTCAAAATAAAGCATAAAATTGCATCATTCTATTCAGAAATGTCAAATATCCTCAGAGAGTCTGTCAGGAGATAGTCTTGTCATTCTTCATCATGATATGTCCATAAAGAAGTCTATGTATGCAATATTTATTTGCCTAGGATGCATTATTTTTATTGCTATTTGAATAGAATTCCACAACGGGATGCCTTTCAAATGGCCTGACACTTACCCAGCAAAAAACTTCTAAGTCTTTTGCTCACTGAGAGCTACTCCACCCAACAGACCTACATATAGGCAGCAGAAGGTGGTTGACCCCAGGGACAAGGAATGTGTGCTAAGCTAAGTAGAGTGGGGTAGTGAACAAGGAGGCGAAACATTTTCATGAATTTGAGCAAAGTTATTGGTAATTTTCTTTGTAATGAGGACAAGTGTGTATGTGTGTTTCTTTTAACAATAATTAGTAATACACTAAAGAACAAAAGACGGTAGTGTGGGTAGGTGGAGCAGTCTATTGAGATAATGAATACAAATAAGTGAGAGGGAATAGGAAAAAAGTTAGCAATGGTTAGGAGGCTATCAAATCTGCAGCAATGAAGATGTATTAGGGGCTATATTGGTTTGTGAATAAGGGATTAAGGATTTAATCGCATGTAGGCTGCGATTAAAACAGAAGCCAAAGAGATAAAGCAGTCAGGGTAGTAGAAAAGATGCCTGGTAAACTTTTCAGTGGAATAAATTTAGCTGAATTATTAATAATTACAAAGTTAACACTCATGAAAAAGCTAATCAAAACAATATTTGCTGGTTAAAATCAAATAATATAATATAATCAAAGTGACCAAAAGACATGGTTTGCCAAGACATTTACAGACAGTTCCATCATCATTCCATTCTTCAACTGCATCAACTTACACCCCCTGCAAAAAAACTCAAACAAATTTGTTTCATTTTGAACACAAGTATGTACTTGTCAGACTTGATTATCACTTAGGTGAGAACTTGCTCAAAATATTCTGGGAATTCACACCTTTATTTACTGATAAGAAATTAGGCAACGTGTTCCCAGGGACTCCCATGCAGTATGCAGAATTATACACATACAAGTGAAGAGCTTGTGTATAGGCTAACCACCACAGTTATCATTATTGCTGAAAGTGGGAGAAAGATGTAAGAGGGAGGACAGAAGGCCTAAACATTCTTCACTTTTCCCCATGGCTCTTCAACATTAAAACTACTGACTACTTTTTCCTTCTTTCTCTCTTCTTCCATTGAGCTCACCCTGCTTAGTGATCTCCATTGTAATATGTGCTGTTTCCTGAAAGTGTGGGCTCAAGTAGTCTCCTTTAAGTGGCCTCAAAATATTTATATGGGTGTATTACATTCTTTTATTAGACATAATTGTTTTATAGAAAAATAATATCAAACCCTGGCATCATACAACTAGTTTTCTGTATTAATTAATTTTATTAGTGCCACAATAAAACACCCTACAAAAGCAATGTAAGGGATGAAGAATTTCTTGTGTCTCACAGTTCAAAGGTTTCATGAACCCCTGTGATGGCATCAGGAGCCTGGAAACAGCTGCTCACATTGCATCTGCAGTCAGGAAGCATCAAGAGACAAATGCTGTTGTTGGCTCCTTTGTTCCATTTTATCCAGTCTCAGAGAGTAGTCCAAGGAATGAGGTCACTCACTTTTAAATGGATTGTTCCACTTCAGTTATCCAAATCTGTAAAACCCTCACAGACAGGCTGGGAGGCTTTTGTGCATGGTGATTATTTATCCCACTAAGAAGACAATTCAAAATAACCATCATTCTTGCTCTTGGATTTGGTTCTTTCATGACCTTTCACTTTAATTTATCTAAAAAGTCTGTGGGTAATTTTTAATAGATTGCTTTACATTTGAGCTGCCCCTCAGTGCCAGGTTCCAGATGTTATCTCTGAGTTCTCTGAGCTTCTTCCACCTATTTACCTTGTACTTCTCTTTGATCCCTTCCTTCCCTTCAGCTCCTCTATCTAATCATCAGGAAGTGCCTCTACTTCCTTCAAAGCTACTGTTGACCTTGCTCTTCCCATGGCCACCAGGCTCCATAAGCCTCATGACCTCATAGAGATTTTATTGCCCCCATTTGATTGTTTTCTAATTTTCCTCACTTTCATCTCTCGCTTTCCATTTTTTTAATATCATACTCTACTTAACTAGAAGGTTCAAGTACAATTGAAACTACAATACGTCTGTCCAGCTCTGAATGATGACCAGTGTATTTGATAAGGTTTGACTGCACAAGCAGATTCTTACAGTGTCTTCATATTCTGGTCCCACGGAATGCTCTATGTGGGGCTAAAGCAAAACAAGGGTGTGGATCTGGCAGCAAAGGTGAAAACTGACAAAGAAAATGTGTTTAGCTCAGCAGTGGGAGAGGCCACCACCATCTGAGCACAAATGTATAAATGTGAACCACAGGTCAGATCTTTGCCGATGGAAAGAAAGCAGAATGAAAGTGGCCCACTGCTTCTAGAAACCCATTCAGGACTCCTTGGTCCATGCAAATCAGGTCAGAGAAAAGGAAGAGATTACAGAAATTATGTAATGTTCCCATGATGAGGAGAGACCTGATGGATGAAGGCAAAATATTGGCTTTGTCAGGGAGCATTTCTAGTCTCAATCATGAGAAATGGCCATTTTGTACTCACATTCAGAACATGGCCCAAAGCTAGTGAGGTTTTCTGGCTGAGTTAAGAGTTTAAAGATCAGAACACAGATGAACTGTTCTAATTGATGGAAATGGATGTTGATTTAGAAACTATATTTTTTTTAACCTTATCCTTCACAAATTGAGATGGAGTAGGCAAAGGGTTATGTTCAGGTCTCCTAGCTTGTTTTAATTGCAACACTGGCTGCCTTTTTGTAGTAGTTATGGAAATGAAAACTATTTCTGAATTAACTCTGGATCTGGCACAGAATGGATAGAGACACGGGCTTCCCTGTCTAAGATTTAGGCATCCAGTATGATAAACACTGACTACCAATGCAGATTTAAGTTTAAAGTAGCACTTATAAAACTCAAACAGAGCCGGGCATGAGCCTCAGTAGTAGTAGATCTTCTCCCGCACACAGGAGTCTAGGTTTAATTCCTGGCACTAATAAATGTGCCTCCTTTTTTTTCTAACCATATGTCAGCAGTTCAGTGGCCATATCAGCTGGAGGACAAAACCATTTTGAAGAGTACAAATACAAAAAGTTTCATTCAGTGCAGAAAAGTCTAGACATGTCTGGTTGAAATTATTGTTGCTTATTAATATATGTATAATATCCTATAATTATATGCTGCAATGAATTTATTAATTTTCTTCATTATTTGCATGGTATATGGATGTGAAACTTGCTGCTGAGGTTCATAAAATTACTTACAGATTGAAAAAAGTGATAGGTAATCAATTACCAAGTAGTCAGCTCAGTGCTGAACATGACATCCACTTCTGTACATTTCCTTACTCCCATGTATCATTTACTTCTTGTACATTTGCTTGTTGGACTTGCTTCTATTGTCAGTTCAAATTCCCATGTTTTTACATGCATTCGACAAGCTAAATTCTTTTAAACCTAATACAACATGTAGATTAAATAAGATATGAAAAGGATATGTAATATTCATTGTGTATTTAATTATTAATACATATACTGAATATTTTTAACATTATGATCATGACTTTTCTTCTGTATATTTTAGCTGCTGGACCACTAGGGAGCTTAAAATCCTTAAAGGTACACCATGTAGTGTCCTGTGCTCCACTCGGCAGCAGCCAGAATGAGAACAGCTACCTC